ACATACAATCCCATACTCTCCCCCGCCCCCATGTTTTTTGCAGCATCATTTAGTAAACAGATGAAAACAACTCAAGTACTATCCGTGGAATGGTTAAAGAAGTTACAGTATATTCACAAAGTTCAGCACCATAAAACAGTAAAGAATGTGTAAAAGACTACATTGAGCTATTAATCTTGAATAAGCTTAGGTAACTTGTGTCTTCCAAATAATTTTTTCATTTTGTCTAAGTTTTTTTGGACGTTTGAATCTGTTCACGTAAAGGCTGTAGCTAACAAAACTCTCTGGAATTCATATCTGCTGCATTTGAGCAGATAGTTTGCCATGAATTAGGACTGATTCCACAGCAAGATTTTTAAAATTGGGATATTCAGAGAGCCCTGGTTGTATAGTGGTTAAGTTCTGAGCTGCTACTTGAAAGGTAAACAGTTCAAACTCACCAGCCTCTCCATGAGAGAAAGATGTAGCTGTTTGCTTCTGTAAAATACTCTTGGCAACTTGACTCTGTCCTGTAGAGTCCTTGTGAGTGAATCTACTTGACAGTGGTGGGCTTGGTTTTGGTTTAGGATTAGATCCAAGATTCACACCTAAACTGTTCATTGAGCTGTATGGATATAACAAATTGTGGCTGACAGTTTTGAGAAGAATGTTAATCCCAGTACACGTAATTGTGCTCATGTGAAATCTACACCTAGACCAAGAAGCTGTTGTATGAGCAGAGCAAGGAGAGAATACTGGATAGTTTAAAATAAAAAAAAAGGTATGTGTCAGAGCTGTATCCTTTCTCCATTCCTGTTCTGTCTCTACACTGAGCACATAAATTGAGAAGCTAGACTTCATGAGGAAACTTATGACATCTGGATTGGTGCCAATCATCAACCTGTGTTATGTAGATGATACAATCTTGTTTGCTGAAAATGAGAAAGACTTGAAGTGCTTGCTGCAGAAGAGGAAAGAATATAGCCTTTAATATAGGTTACATCTCAACATCAGGAAGACAAAAATCCTCACACTGGGCCAACAGGCAATATCATGATAGATGGAGAAAAGATAGAAATTTTCAATGTTTTCGTCTTACTTAGATCCACAATTAGTAACGTTGGTACTGTCAGTCAGGAAGTAAAAAGACGTGTTGTACTGGGAAAATCTGCAGTCAGAGACCTTTCCCAGCTGCTGAAGAACAAGGATGTCAGTTAAAGACTAAAAAGAGTACCTGATCCAAGCCAGGTCTTTTCACTTAATTCTTATGCATCAGAGACTTGCACAGTGAATAAAGATATGGCAGAAGGATCAATGCATTGAATGACAGTGATGGAGAAGAGTATTAAATATTCCATGGACTGCCAAGTGAACAAAACAAATAATGTGTTGGAGACACAGTTTGTTGTGACCCACACAGTCAAAAGCCTTTGCATAGTCAATGAAACACAGATAGACATTCCTCTTGTAGTCTCTGCTTTCTGCCAAGATCCATCTAACATTAACTATAATATCCTTAGTACCATGGCTTCTTCTAAACCGAGCCTGCACATCTGTCAGTTGTCTGTTGATGTGTTGCTCCAGTTGTTTTTGGATAATTTCCAGCAGAATCTTGCTTGCATGTGATATTAATGGTATTGTTCGATAATTTCCACACTCTTTCGGGTCACCCTTCTTTGGAATGGGGACAAATATCAATCTCTTGCATTATGCTGGCCAGGTGGCTGTCCTCCAGATTTCTTGGCACTACTTAGTGGGCACATTCAGGGCAGTGTCTATTTGTTGAAATGTCTATTGGTATGCCATCAACTCCTGGAGTCCTGTTTTTTGCCAGTTCTTTCAGAGCAGCTTGAACTTCCTCTTTCATCACCACAGGCTCTTGCTAATACGTTGTTTCATGAAATTCTTCTGTGTCAGCCAGTTCTTTCTGGTACAATGACTGTATACACTTTCTATCTTCTTTTAATGTTTCTTAGATCATTTAACATTCTCCCCAGAGCATCCTTAAGTAAGTGAGGTGAATTCCTGGCATCCTCACTTCTTAAAAGCATTCTGTTGCATTTCTTCCAAAGCAGATTTGTTTGTTCATCTGGCAGTCCAGAGTCGATTCAGTGTTCTTTGCCAGCACTATTATTCATACGCATCAGTTTTCTGTTCTTAGTCATTTTCCTTCTCATGCATATAAAGCGACTGAGAAACACCTTCATCCTCAAAGTGACATACTTGCTTTTGAACATTTTCAAGAGGTCTTTAGCAACATATTTACTTGGTGCAATTATATATTGTTTGATTTCTTGATTGCTTCTCTTGTGGACTCAGGTTAAATGAAATCTTTGACAATGCCCATCTCTTCTCCTTTTACAATGAAGTTTTTTTTTTTCTACCTTCCAGGTAGGAAGATGATTGTTTTCTTTGTGGTAAGGGGTAATGCAGACAATAATCTTGCTGTGTAGCAATAATTACTTCAAGTCCTCTTTGTTTTCAACAAGCAACATTGTGGATCATTGTAATTAATATCCTTCTGACTGAAATTGGGCTATTGAAAGAATCATATGTTAATATGTGTGCATGTATATATCTATAATCATCATTCATAATAGGAGTTGTTTCAAGTAAGGAAAGGTGTGTGTCAGGTTGTATCCTTTTTCCATACCTGTTTAGTCTGTATGCTGAGCAGTCATTTCAGAAGCTAGATTTTATGAAGAAGAAAGTGGCCTCAAGATTGGAGGAAGATGCATCAACAGCCTGCTTTATGCAGATGACACAACCTTGCTTGCAGAAAGTGAAGAAGACCTGAGCACTTACTGTAGAAGATGAAAGATGATAGCCTCAACACCACAGAAAAGTTCCTTAGCACTGGACCAATAGGCAACAGCCTGGTAGATGAAGAAAAGATAGAAGTTGCCAGTTATTTTATTTGAATTCTCTCCAAGTAACAGCAGTCAAAAAATGAAGACATGTTGCATTGGGGAAATCTGCTGTTAAGGACCTTTAAAAAAAGTCCTAAAGAACAAAGATGTCATTTAAAAACTAAAGTGCACTGATCTAAGCAGTGGTGTTTTCGGTTGCCTTTTATGCATCTGCAAGTTGGACAATAAATAAAGACGAGTGAAGAAGAACCAAGGCCTTTGAATTGTGATGTTGGATGCTGCCAAAAGAGCAAACAAGTCTGCCTTGGATAAAGTACAGCTAGGGTGCCCCTTGGAGGCAAGGATGGTGAAACTTGGTCTCATGTACTTTGGGCATGTTGTCAAGAAGGGCTGGTATTTGGAAAACAGACCTTATACTGGGAAAAGAAGAAGGTCAATGATAGAGAGGAAGACCCCCAGTGAGAAGGATTGGCACATTGACTGCAGCTGTGGACTTGAGCATGGCAGAGATTGTGGAATGTCACTCTGTCGTGCCAGGTTCTGATCTGTTGTTCATAAAGTCACTATCAGACCTGGTTGACTCAGCAATGCCTAACAACAACAACATGTCAAATAAGGCCCAATAACTGCTTATGTGACTCATGTACTAAGAAATGGGTTTTGTTTACATTTGTAAATGATTGGAGAAAAACAAAAAAAGTACTATTTTGTGACATGCAGTTCTATGAAATTCAACTTTCAGTGTGCATAAACAAGGTCACTTACAGATTGTCTGTGGCTACTTTCTGCCTGGAGTGGTCAAATTGGATAGTGAAAACACAAATTATGTGACCCACAGCCTAAAATATTTAGTCTTGCTCTACAGAAAAAATGTTACTAATTCTCAGTATAAATGACTAATTTATAAACATATGACCAAATAACATTCCCCACCCATCTTCGACAACTGATGTCTTATTCGAGGAGGTGGAAATACTGAATGGAGTAATGAAAATGTGAATAATGAAGTACCAGTTATTTAAAGAATGTGTCCTAATTAGAATTATAGTAACTTTGCTTAATGGAGTGATATTTGAGCAAGATTTTTAATTAGATTAGTTCTTAATATAACAAGGCCAGTTTCTAGTGCCTGTGATAGGAAGAGGGGGAGTGTAATACTTTTTGTCATTCTTTCTTTTCTCTCTCTTCTTTCTTTTCAGTTAACTGGTGGTTAATCCTCACAATTATTTTTTTTATAACTATACCACTAAAATATCACAAAATTGACTTTCAGAAAAAATATCAATAAGGAAAAAGAACTATGCCTTAAAGTGCCTCAAGATGATAATTTTAATGCTGTCCATTTCTATGTAATAATACTGTAGTTGCTGAAAAGAAACTCTTCTTAAATAGATTTTATAAAGCTGCATATTGGACTGTGATAAGAAAGCAGGATATATCATGTTAATGTTAGGTTTGAGACGAGCAAACTGTCTGATTATTGAAGGGGTCAAGGAATCAAGGTTGTATTTTCACTTGTTTTTATAAATACTGTAAGATTTGCTTTGCTTTCCATGTCATGTTGACACACTTGAGCCTAAATTTATTCAAGATTCTGCTGCTGGAAAGATGGGAAAATGTTCATTGCTAGAAATGTATAGGGAGGTAGAATCATCATGAATCCTTTCCAACTCTGTTTCCAAATGCCCCCCAGGCTCTACTGAGATGGCTAAGGGGAGAATTGTTACCCCTTTCCTTTACATCTTTCCCACCAGGCTGGAGGAAGTTTGATACTCTATTTGGGGATACCAGGGGCGGTTGGATTGGTTCTGACTTAGTATGACCTCACCTCACATGAGTGAGTACAGCTGTGCTCCATGAGTTTTTAGGGGCTGAGATTTGGGGAGTAGATCACAAGGTCTATCTTCTGAGGCACGTCTAGGTGAACTTAAACTTCTAATTTTTGGTTAGCAGCTGGATATGTTAGCCATTTGTATCCTCAGGGAAATGAATGTGGAGATACTGGCTCATTAAAAGATGGGTTTTGGCATTTAGAAAGAATCAAGTGCGAGTTTTCAGTTTTACAGAAGTGGTTTAGTATATGTTATTTCCCCTAGAAGAGAGTTAATCTTTATATGCTAAGGTAATGCATATAATGCATATTTCTCTCTCTTTTAAGGTTGTATGTCAGCTCCTCAAAGACATTTGCCTCGGTGGAGAAATCCATGAGTCCTCTGCAGTGGTGTAGACACGTCTTGGATAATCCGACTCCTGAAATGGAAGCAGCAAGACGCTCCCTGTGCTTTAGGCTTGAGCAAGGTAGTACTGAATCTGCATATTTAAATTTTCAAGCTCTTGCCACTCTTGTTTGTGTTGCTGGATTCAGAATACACCCATCTCCTGGGTTTTCAGTACCCAATTTACAGATAATTCATCCATCCTTTTAATATTACATAAATTTGCTCTCACTTTGAAATTATTGCACCGTCCTCTCTCACAACACGTTCATCATTATCAGATTCACTAACTGCACACAAACTCAAGAATGCTGATTTCAACGTGTGACACCCTTCCATTGGTTTTCCGTTACTTAGGCAGAGGCAGGAGAATGTCCATCTTTCTCTTGTGGAGTTGATAATGGATTGGAACCAGTAGAGATGCCCGCCATTTGGTTAGCAGCGATGCAGCTCTTCTTTCTTATACTGTTGTTGTTATGTGCCGTTGAGTCGCTTGCAACTCATAGCGACCCTGTGTACAACAACCCTAAACCCTGCTCTATCCTGTGCCAATCACACTGCCTCTAACACACCCATCCCGATTACCCCAGTCACTGAATCAATCCACCTCATAGAGGGCCTTCCCCTCTTGTGCCGTCCCTCCACCCTCCCAAGCATGATGTCCCTCTCCAAGGACCTGTCCCTCCTTACAACATGTCCAAAGTATGTCAGACAAAGCCCCAGAATCCTTGCCTCCAAGGAGCAGTCTGGTTTAACCCTCTCCAGGATGAATCTGTTTTCTTGGCAGTCCATGGTACATTCAATACTCTTCTCCTGCACCACAGCTAAAAGGCATCAATTCCCCTTCTGTTCTCCCTAGTCGTTGTCCAAACCTCACTAAAACCAAACCCATTTTTTTCAGGTGCTTTCTGCTTCATCATGCTATTGTAGGATAGAGTAGAATAGCACCATAGAGTTGCCCAGACTGTAAATCTTGATGGAAGCTGACTGTCATATCTTTCTGCTCTGGAGCAGTGGTAAATTTGAACCATCACCCTTTCTATTACTAGCCACATGTTTAATCACTACAGCCCCAGGCATACGACTGTTCTGTTTAAAAGATGCAGGACTGCTTGTTGATGCATAAATTTGGAAGCAAGAGTGACATTCACTTCCTAAACAACATCCCTCCAACAACAACATGGGATATTAAATACTCTTCTGTAACACCAACTCAAAGGCATTGATTCTTCTTATGTTATCTATTTTCATTGTCCAACTTTCACATGCATTGGAAGTAATTAAAAAGACAATGGCTTGAGTGAAGCACACCTTAGTCTTCAAACTGACGTCTTGGAACGATCATAAATCAAGTTTTCAGAAAGCAGTGTTAAATATATTCACTCATTCACTCATTGCTATTGAGTTAGAACTGACTCAGACTGACCCTTCAGCTGGTTTTCAGGAGTCTTTAATTTGCGTGGAAGGAGCTTACCCATCTTTCTTCTGTGGAGCCACTGGTGTGTTGGAATGTGTGTGTGTCCGTGTGTGTAACTCGGGTGGCCTCATGGTAAGTGGTTGTACTCCCAGCCCTAAGGCAGTTGGAATGTCCCAGCTGCTCTGAAGCAGAACTATGGACAGTCTCCTTTTGTGCTTCTTACAACCTCTGAAAACCTGCTGGAGGGTCCGCGTATGAGGCAATTCCAACTCTACAGCAATGAGTAGAATTGTATACATGTATGTGTCTATGCATGTATATCATATCCCTCCTTACCACTCATGTCTTGAGAATAAAAATTATATAAACAAACACACACACACACACACACAAATATAAATTTACATACACACATCTTTGGTGGTAAGAAGCTGTGCTACAATCCTGAAGGCTCGTGGTTCAAGACCACCAGCTGCTCTGTGACAGAAGGATGGGCAGCCTCCTCTGGTGCGATTAACTGCCTCTGAAAATCCACTGGAGGGTCAGCTGTGCATCAGTTCTGACTCTGTGGTACACAACAACAACAGTATAATATATACATATACAAATACATTGTTGTTAGGTTGACTGTGACTCATAGCGACCCTGTGTATAATAGCTCTGAACCCTGTCCTATCCTGAACCAGTCTTACTGTCTCTGATTCAAATCACAGAAAGGCATCACATTTGGGTTTATCACTATAACTCCATACCCATTAGGTCACCAGAACTCTTCTTTATTAAATTTTTTTGGGTTTTTTTTAATGTGCTGTCAAGTCAGAATTGACTCATAGCTGACTTTGCAGAGAATTTTCAAAAGCAGTAAATCACATAGGAAGAGATTTCCCTACTTCTTCCAAGGAGCTGCTGGTGGGTTTGAACCATGTGCCTTTGGGACGGCAGCACAATTGAAAAGTTTTTTTAGTATAGTTTACCCAACAAGCTGAATTCCTTAGTTTTTTCTTTCTATTTTTTCTTAATTGAAATGTATTTCCAATATCCCTGTCTTTATTCTCTCCCTCCTTCCCTCTCATGTCTTTAGAAAAAAGATAATAAATACACCATAGAACTTTGGGTAAGATTAAGTCATGTAGTATCTTAAATTGTAATAAGGCTAATCTAGAGTCTTGTCATGAGGCTAGGATGGTAAATAACCAACTAATGATTAAAAGCTTATCAAAGTAATCTGAAACATTCACAGTGTGGCTCGGTTGAGACCAGTTAATAAAGGTTATCTTACTTTGACATACTTGAATGTCCATAACTATTGAATCAGGACAGGTCATTTTAGAGGAGTGTGGGTGTTGTTTTCACAAGTGTAGCCCTGCGCAATTACTATCTTGGGTTCTATTTCCCCATGACCATGACTCTTTTCTTCAGGGATTATATGCTAAGGAAATGTGAACAGATATTGCCCTTCATATGATACCAATTCCCATTCTTTTCTTGGTTGATATGATGGCATGATTCTCCCTCAATTTGGCTAATACAGAACAAAGTTGTGAACTAATGCCGTGCTCTGAAGGTGGCCTTTTCATTTGTAAAAGCCATACAGATTAAACTGAGATGGTAGGAAGTTTATCAAGTGTCTGTGTCTCTTGGATATAGTCCATTCTCTCCTTACATGGCCCAAGATGCTATCTTCATCAGCTCATATTTCCTGTCTTAAGGTGCCCTGTCAGATTTGGAGTACAAAATTAAAACAGACTGTGTGGTTCATTTTAGGTAACTCTGTCAAGTGTCCCCTTTTCATTGGAAAAGGAATCTGGAATCCCTTTTTTGTGCAGAGTAGGGTCTCCTGACATTTGATGTCATTGCAATGACCTGGAAACCCCTACAAACCAAAGATACATTATCATGGCCTTGGGGTTCCATCACATCTTTGCTTTGCTCTTTGTTTCAGAATAACCCAACACATTGGTTTCAGTACTGATTAGGGATTGTACTTCTCTGATATTTGTTATTTCCATCTGTCATATCCCCTCACATGGATATGTGTTTGCCAAATAACTATGAACAGTTATTTCCTTCCTTTTGCTGGTTGTTCGTATATTTTTGTGTATTCTTTCTCAGTTTTTATTTCTGTCCTGGTTGTTGTTGATTGCCTTCAAGTCAAGCACAACTCATAGCAACCCTATGAACAGAAGGCCTGAACCCCCTCTACAGCTATTGACATTTGTCAAAGTTCATAGAGTTTCCAGAGGCATGTTTAGGAAATGGATGCCACTCCTGATTAGAAAGGCATTTATTAAAAGAAACGATTATTTATGACAGTGCATAATGGCTGTTAGGGGGCACTGCTGTGTGTTCTGTAGGAAACTGTGCTTTTAATCCAAAGGTGGTCCTTCTCTGGTGGTTTGAATTCGTTGCTGGCTCTGTGAAAGGAATGATGGGCAGTCACCCCCATGTGATTTACTGCATTTGGAAACCCACTGGAGAGTCAGCCGTGAGTCAGTTCCAACTTGACAACAGTGAGTTGTTGGGTTGGTTGGGGATTTTTGATGGCTGTTGTTTTCCTTTTCTGATTGACATGCTTATTTAGTTTGCTTCCTCTATATAGATACTCTCCAGAAGTAGCTGGGCACTGTTTTTGTATTCCTGTGATGATTTTAGTCAGCCATCGAATGTGGTTCTCAGATATGGTTCTGTGGCAGTGAAATTAGTTTTTGTACTTTTTGCTGTGGCTTAGGGGCAAGTTCGTGTTTGTTTCTTGGGACTTTAAAGAAATAAATCAAAACCAAACTCACTGCTGTTAAGTAAATTCTGACTCATGGAAACCCTCCATCTGGTTTCTGAGGGTGTCAATCTTTACAGGAGGAAAGGGCCTATCTTTCTCTTGTCAAGAAACTGGTGCATTTAAAATGCCACCTTTAAGAACCCAACTTTACCAACTCTGTTTCCACCCCCACTCCATCCCCCGGCTGAGAATGGTTGTCTACCTTTCTTCTGCTACCAGAGAGAGGCCCTCCCTATGGAATGTGCCACCAGAACTTAAGGAGCCATCTTTATGTGAGAATTTCCAGAATCCCTTTTTTTCTGAAACAATGGGCCTTGATCAGAGGAGGAATTCAGCAGCTAAATCATAACATAAATTTATGGAGGACTTACTATTTATGGGGACAGTGCTTGATTTTAAGGGCCTTGTAGCAAGCAAAAACTTGATATGTGGACAACAGTAGCTTGCAATCTAGTGCATCTTCTTGTTTTAGGATGGACTTTGGGCTGCAGAATGGCCTCATCCAAGGAGTATGGTCAGGAAGTGCTTCCCCAAGGGACTAACAGATCAGCTGAAACCTAAAGAGTCAGTAGGAGTGAAGCTAATAATTATCAGAGGAGGCGGAAGAGTATTTTATGTCACAAGAACAGCATGTGGAAAGGCTGTGCAAGCTGACAGAACTTAATCAACTGGCAGGCCATTGTGGTAGGAGTGTAATAAAGGGAAATGAAGAAGGAGCAAACTAAGCTGAGTGACCGTGCGTGCAGCTAGGGAGCTGTGTGGTTTTAAGGGCGCCTTAGGATTCTGGACTTGATCATGAGATGATTCGGAAAACTTTGAGCTTTATACAAAGGAGTGATAGAACCTCAAACAAGAAAGCTACAGGGTATTGTCTGAAGTTCCTGAAATC